GAGTCCTATCCCTAACAGCCCTGGGTTCAGATTCGTCCCTCAGTTGTCTTTGCGTTCATCTATTTTTAATGCAGAGAGAGTTTTTACTCCTTAATGTCTCTGTAGAATATGGAAAGAGAGTGTGTGAATAAAAACAGTCAGCGATGAAAACGGCCTTTGAATTCGAATCATGTCCTCGATGAACCATATGTGACCTTCTGGGAGAGTGAAGAAGCATAAATTTAAGAGTACTGGGAGAACATATTTTTGAGTTTGATTAGAAACAACAGCAACAAAGTAATCATTCCTGAGTAAAAGCTAGCTGTGGAGATGAGAAGATTCAGAGGTGACATTTATTTTCCAAAACTTCCTCAGGCATTTGTAATTTGTGACATGTCAGATTTTAATTCATTTTCAGAGGAGCCTTTGTAGGCTGGGAGGTGTTCAAGTCTAAGCGCAGTTCCTGTGTTGGCTAGCTTCTCAATTAATTCTCGTCTTTCTCATCTCTCTCTGGGTTGGTTTGCCTATGGACCACCTCATTATTCAGATACAATGGAACCTCGGGGTGAGTTCTGCCTGCAGGTTTGGAATCAAGACTTTTTCGGTGGAAATTGCAGAATTTCAATTCAGTATGATTCCAGTAGGCCTTCATCATCATAATATTTTAAGTGCATCTTGGTGCTTTTCTATAAGAGTCTGCATTTATGCATTTTATATATATAGATTTAGAAGCGCAGCCGTGAATTGGGAGATTTAATGTTCTGACATGATTTTAGTTTTTTTTCTGCAAATGCCAAATGAGTTTAGCTTTTGTTTTGTTTTTACTGATTTGAATTCATGAGGACATGTGGTACCTAAATTAGGAGAGCAGAGGAGTTGCCAATCAGTAATGAAGATACTCTGTCATTTTAACTGTGTGGGTGCTTAATTATTTTCCATAATAACCTTTTGCTTTAAAGTTAAAAAAAAAAAAAAAAGACGAAAAGGGATTCCTATACAGGCATTGTGCTTTTCTGCATACAGGGAAACATGACATCTTTTAAATAATGGAGATATGCTTCTCTCCTCTGGTGCCTTAATTCTGAGTAGATAGTTTATAGTAACTGTTTCTACTTACATACCACTTTTCCCCTTTTGACCTCAGAACACTTTAAAAAGGGGACAGCGTCACAGAAACATAAGCTGAAGCAGAAAACATTGAAATGCCCCAACCAAGGTAATCCAGCCTGTCCACAGCAGAGCTAAGAATAAAACTCCCATCTCCTGAGTCCCAGGCCAAGGCTCTACCTTCTAGGTAAGTGGTCCTTGATGGTTTTGTTTAGATAAGTGTCACTGCTACTACTTCCCTCGCTCCTTGCTCTTCTTTCCCCTTCACCTTTTAAGCTCCTTTCCCTCCTACCTGGAGATATTTGGACCTATGTACTTCCATAAAGTTTTTTAAATGCTTACGTGAGTGCTGAAGATTGAAAGCCTGGCCTTGTCAGCCTGAACCAGGGAGTATGTCCTTCCTGAGGGCAAATATCTGTGCTCAGTTTGAAAGCATTTGCTCTGTCAGATGAGGAAGTAATGTCCAGAGATTCAGTTCATGATCCATTTTCTAACGTGAAGTTCAGTGTGAATTCAAATATTGTTCTTGATTGCAAAAAAGCATTTGTATTCACCTAAGAGAAAAATGTTGCACCTATAGTCTTAGATGAATGTAGAGGGTTTGCGACTTCTGAGCAGACAGGAATTTTACACCCAAACTCAAATACGTGAGTGGCCTAAAAATATTCTGCATAATTTAAGCAGTTTTTCATGAAGTGAAGTTGGTTTGTGTGTGAGCTCAGAGACAAAGTTGCTTCCAGGGTGCATATATATGGAAAGCAGAGAAGTAGGCTGCATAGTCTGGAAACTACAAAAAGGTACGGTGATAACTGCACTTGTTTTTTCTTCAGGATATCTTTTTTGTAAGCATCTCTGTGCTTGTTTTTTTTTTTTTTTCTGAATGCCCTTGCCTTAGCCCTGCTTGCTCTTTTCTGTATTTCAGTCTGCTCATTTGTCCTAGCAGACATTTGTTTTAGTGATTTTCTTTTTGGTCCTGAAACTTTAAGGAGAGAGAAGGCAATTTATGTGAAAAATCACTTTATCCAGATTAATATCTGCTGCTCTTGACTGTTATCACAGTGGTATTAGCTAGATTTTTTTGTGTTGCACTGAGAGAAGAGAAACTGCTTTTCAGATTCTTGCTGTCTGAAATTGTAGTTGTGGAGACATGTCAGGTTGTAGAAAATCACATACCTTCATGCAGTGAAAGAAAAAGCTATATGGGTAGAAGATGTGGTGCTTTTAATATTAGTAAGTGATAAACCACTAATTGCCAGGGAGTTCAGATGAAGGACAAGCATCGGGTCCCATAGCTGAGGGGCACCAGTGCCAAAAGCTGAGTTTGCAGAGGAGGAAACACAGGTGTTTGTTTCTGGCAGGGAAGAGGCAGAGTGTAACTGAACTACGGAATGTACTTCTGCTCTTACAATGGTGTGAATTCAGAAGTAGTTTGTGGCATTATTGCAAAGCTGACGTCAGAATCTAGCCACAGGTATAGTTTTCGATGCTTAATCAAGCTATATATCTCCTGTGGTGGGAGTGGGCAGGCATGAGGGAGTTAATAATACCCAAAAAGCAAAAAATCCTTAAATGTAAGGCTGCTGGGGTGATGTGGTAAATTTCTCTTAGGATACAGTGTCAGGATTCAGTGCAACAGCTGCTGAATTTTCCAGTTGTCTCCATCTTTCCCTTTGTCTCCATATTTCCCTATGTCGTCAGAGCTGCCCCTGTGCTGCAAGGGGAACTGGAGTCAGACAGACCTTCAGCTTATAGCGTCTCCTGAAGGGCAGTGGAGGGGAAGCGGTGTTCTGTTTCTGAAGGGTTTATACAAGTTACGACGAAAGGCATGGTTACCTCAAAGCAGAAGAAGCTGAGAGGAGTACCTAAGTAAAAACGCGACTGGTAGATGTAAAAAGTAGTGCAGGACAGTTAGGTACGTGTGCCCATCCTCCCAGCTAAGGCTCGTATGTATGCAAAGCGCTGTGGAAGAGGAGGACCTACGTGGGATTTACAGGGCTCAAGTGTTGGTATTCATCATGGTAATGGCGAGTATCAGCAGCCCTCACTGTGGGCCCTTGAGTTAGTGTTAAACAGAAAATGGGGCAGATAAATCTATTTCTGGATTCTTAATACACTGTAGGAGGAAAAGCTGTTCATTAGGCAACTTCTGGATTCTGGATTAACCTGGATCTTGCCTCTGGAGGTAGGAAATTGCCTGTTTATTAAGGGGAAAGTAACAGTATAGAAACGGTGGGAGGAAAGTAGTTCTTGGGAGAAAGAATAGTCAACCGAAGTAGAAATCAAGTATGTAATGCTACATCAAGGGCTACAGAGGAGTTTTCTAGTTACATACAAATTCAGATTATCAGCCTTTCTTCTGTTCCTAAAACACAGTTTGAGATCTTCCTTGAGATTTTCCTTTTGGAGTAAAGTTGTGAGGACAATGTCCAGTTACTCTTGGTTTTTTTCTTTAGCACTTACTGGAGCCATTTCTTCTGGTTTTTGGGGTTTAATCTCTACTTCCTCCTGACCGTAAGGTTACTATTCCGTTACATTTCCATTCTTGTCAGCAGTCATGGATGCTGTATCTTGCCTAGAAGGTTGCCAGCTCTTTTGAAGTTTCTCACAGGAGGATAAAGGTGTATCTGTCCTTCTGGAAGTACTTTACCAAGTATGCTCAAGCAACTAGAATGCTGTTGACACATAGTCCATAGTTGTCATTTGTGATATCTAAAATGAAATTTAATCCCGTTGTGTTTCTTAGTTCTTACTGTTGCATGTTTTGTGTGGAAGTGCAACTTGGACACCTGGATTTCTTTCAGAGTTGCTTTTATGAGGTGGACTGCTGTGGCTCAGTGAAGAACAAGAGAAAGACAGTCCCAAAGAAGTAAGAAAAACTGAATTCATTTAATCAGCTAAAAAGACAAACTTTTATTATTGTTGGGGAGGGAAAACGAGGAGACCTAGATAATTATAGGGTTTTTTAGTCTTCCCTCATAAATTACTAATGGTGTGAATTCTTCAGACATTGGTTGTATCAAGTGTTTGCAGGCTTCATTTATTATCTACTAACCAAAATTAGCATTGTAGAACCAAAGCAATACCAAGCTTTTCTCCTACATTTCTGTTGAGAACACTGTATTTATTCAAGATTTAGAAGCAAGTCTCTGGAAACCCCTGATCGCTTCAGAAAAGGATTCCCCTTTACACTATACAGCAGGCACTGAAACCATGATACAAAATTTATTTCATGCTAGAATTGTTTTGCATAACATTGTGCATGCATTTTACTCAGTACTAAATTGCATACAATGCTGTTGTCTTGTTTCTTAAACTTTGAGACCATTTATACTTGAGTATTTTCCTGATTTTGTACTATAAGTCCCATTTTTTAAAATAACACCTCTTTTGTTTAAAATTCATACTGATTACTTAATATGAACAATTTATGAAGGGTCTTTACGTTGGATCTATACATCAATAAAATACAACATAACCAGAGCTGGAAAATTAAATCTAGACCAGCTGTTACTGTCAGGTCCGAAGGAAGGTCCCATGTGTCACAAGCATGCCAACAAAAACAGACAGGAAAAAGTTTTTCTTATTTTTATACACTTCTAGTTGGATTAAAAGTTCTTGATTTCCATGTCGGTGTGATGAACTGTGAAGGCGTGGTCAATATGACCGATGACTGCCTGATTGCACTTTTTAAAACCATTACTCTGTATCTTGTATACAAAAAGAAGCGATCCATAGCAAAGAAATGTACAGTTTTATAATGTTTTACATTTTGGCTACAACAATGTATGTAAAAGTAAAGAGCTTTGAAAGAAAATATATAACTTTGCTTTTTTTTTTTTTCTCGTTATTCATACATTTGCGGTGTTTCTTCTTTCTTGTTTTTTCTTTTTTTTCTTTTTTTAAATTTTTGTCGTCATGCAATTCATGCTATGGAACAAAAAAATAGATTAAAAAAAAAAAAAAGAAAAGGTCTTCTACAGTTTTGTTACATTTTGGCCGTAGAAAAAGCCTGCATCTCTAGTACAACTCCAAAACCACGAAGAATCATCCATAAAACCTGCATGGAGCGAGTTAACTTTGTCCAAATGAGAAGGTCTTCTATGCCTGCACAGTTCCACACAGATGTTTATTAGCCATCAATGTTCATCTCCATCTCGCTTGTCAGGTCACTCTGACTGCCTCTGTTGGCATATATTTAGCAATGACTGGACTTTCTTTGCAAAGATCTGCATGTAAAGAATACAATCAGTACTTGAGCTTCTTCCCTGCGCTTTTCACATCAAGCTTGGCATCTTAGTTTTAAAAGAAGGAGGGAAAGGTGAAATAGCTACATGCAGAGGCAGCCATATTCTTCTTCAACAGGGTTTGGTTTTTTTCCCATGCAGTCAGCCAGACTGAGACCTCTCTACAGTGTGTCTGAGTATTGCTTTCAGCTTAAGATAGGCGCCCATGCAAAGTTTCATCCTACTGTGCTTGTTTGCTCAAACTCCTGCAGGGTTCCTATGGCTCAAAAATATCCTGAGAAAAGCAAAATCTTCCATCGTTGGCATGTTTCAGCATCGACTAAATGCCTAACCCATTCCATACAGAGCCAGTAGATCCACCATTAGCCAAAATAAGCATATACTAGCAGGATGCACCAGGAAGGACCCTGTCTGGTGCATCTACCCTTCATCCTATGTACTGATAGCGTGTGGCACGTAGGGCCCACCAGTACCATGTAAATGCCTGCCTGTTGTCATCTGAGTGCTATTTAGGAGTGTTGTCACCTAGCATCAGGAGTAACACCGTTCCCAGCAGGTGCTACTGTGAGACATTGCATCTTCAGACTTAGTCACCTGGATTATATGCAACATAGCATAGGCTAATTGAAAATAAAGCTTTTTAGACCATTCTCTGCTACTGATCCATGCTACAGTATAGATGGGATGGGAGACCAAGAACGTCTCACTGGACTAGGAGAGCTGTAGGGCGCAGACACTGAGGATAATCCTATCGCTTTTCCACTTATGCCAGCTATGCTGTTAAGGCTCCGTGACATTTCGTAACCTTCATTTAAAAGAAAAATGCAAAGTACAGCATTGGATCAATGACAGAATGGACTAAGAATGAGGTCAACATTGTAGCCAGTTCAATAGCATCTGCATGCACGGACATGCGGAGAGTAGTATCGCTTGCAACGTGACTCAGAAGACCATTGAAGTACAGAACAAGTTTAAAATATATATTTATATTAAAACAAAATATCGTCATTTTCAAGGATGATCAGGCTATGTAATTGATCCTACAGGCAGCAACATGGTTGTACCCTAAAAAAAAAAAAGAGTCAGTGGGAGGGATTTTGATTCTCTATGCTTCTGTCATACATTCACAAATACCTCTCCCTTCCACTTCATGCATTTTGACCTCAGGCAGAATTAAGGTTTCTGGTATCTTTGGGGGCAGTAGGGGGAAAAGGCAGCAAAACCCATAGAATTTATTGTGTTGCTATAGAGATACTACTCCTTTGTTCTCAGCATTTATAAAAAAAAGAAGAAAACAAAATTGCATGCATTCAGATTCTCTCCCTTCCCCCACCCCCCCTTCTTTGTCAGACATGCACGTAAACAGCTCAGCAAGTGTACAGAGAGTCGCACAAACTATGGATGAAATTCTGTTGGAACAACAATTAAGATGCTCTCAACGTGTTTCAAACAGGCCAACAATATGCTGACGTATATTACTCTTTAGCCAACCAGCCTCTGTTTCATTCAGTAACGAGAGGCGGTTGCAGTGCATCGTGAAAACCATACATTCCTCATCCCAAAGGATGTGCCATTTGGAGTGTTCCCCTGATCCACTGGAACCACCCGAACTCGCCCAGGCTGAATGAACACGGCCAATGCTTATCCAATACAGAATCAAGTAAAACGCTTTGCTACAAAGGTAAATTTTAGAGGATATACTTTCATATGAAAGTCTCGTGATCCAACTATATCTTTGTTGATGATAAGCTTTAAACTTATAAATGCATACACTATCTATAACTGGCATTTACTATAACTATTGCCCATCATACAATGGCACATGGGAATTCTATACGCCATACTCGGTGTATGGTTACATCATACAATCTTTGCAGTTTTAAAATATTGACTATATCATATACTATATACAGTACACCAGTGGTAAACACTGATTTGAAGAGAGACATCTCTTTTCCAATTTTCCCATTCCTGTCGACTTTGATGCGCATATATAACTCTAATTTTGGTTTGTATGGTTTCCTCATGTTATGCTATTTAAACAAAAAAGCCTATTTTAAGAAGGGAAGGTTTTTTTCATTTGATTTGACTTCTGTTGCTAAATAGATTATTCTGACCATTAGCAAAATAAAATGCAGTTACTTCTGAGAGGTCTGTAGCTGTCAGAAGTCTGAGAAACTAACGAGTAATGATTTATTTATGAAAATGATTTTAGATGGATAATTTTCCAATTGTAAGACACCTGCGTTAACAGATGTTCTCGTAGGCTTCTGTTTCTCTGTTGAACTAAACAGCTATGAATATCCAAATAATTTGTTTTACTGCTCTGTTAAGGTAGCTGAATAATCATTCCATATCTCTTGAGGATGTTTAGCTTTTGTGTTTTATCTTTTCTGTCTGCCACTTCCAAATCTGTGCTCGTTAGAGTCTGGTAAGATCTGTGAGCTTTCCAAGTGGCAAACCTTCATTGCTATGAAGTGTTAATGGGCATCTCCTTGGAGGATGGGCTAATTTAAGGTCATTGCAGAGCATCCTCCACTAAAGCTTACTGCACCAAGCTGGGGTGGAAGACTCGACTGCCTAGCATAGCTCTATGGGGTAGTTACAGCTCCTCAGGCTTTTCTTTCTGAAAGAAATAGGTTAGAAACTCCAAATGCAGACATCAGGTGGTGGTTTCCAGCCCAAACGTGCATTTCTACAGCAAGCGCGCTATTGCGTGCTACAGCTACAGCTGACTCTCTCTTACTTATTTCAAACGGTTGCTAACTACATGGTTACAGGACCCCAGCTACATACCCTTTCTTATTCCTCCATCAGGCGGGCAGGGATATTCCCCGGTTGATAAGAGGAAGCAGGGTCCATATCTCTCCCGAGTGCCAGAGCGGGTAAAGGGCAGGCCCTCATCGGGCGTAATAGCCTGGTCTATGTGGGGACAGTCTTCGTTTGCCAGCGCCGCCTTGGCCACCTCACCATTCAGTTTCGAATCTTCAAACATATAAGCAAAAGGCTATTGAAATACTATGCACTGTTTATTAGAGTTCCAGCTGCAAATTAAGGGTTCACAGCTAAAGAGTTCTATAGCAACACTGTAAAAGGTAGCACATCTGTCCTAGACACTGCGTTCATGTACACGGCACCAAAACGAAACAAAGGCTGTTAAACGGGAGGAGAAACAAATCGTGATTGCATTAGGTGTAACAGCAGCCACCTGTACTTCCGCACAGAGGGGCGGTTTCAGGAACGGGCGTGCATTGGTTCCTAGTCCTGTGAGCAGAAGACTGCAGTTAGAAATCGGGTTATGTTTTCGCATGACAGCGGGTGGGGCATGAATGACCTGTCATGAAGCCTACTGTCGCTCAGAGCTTAGGAGAGGCAGTGGACGGTGAGTTGTGTTTTAGTATTTGAGTATATTCTGTGCTGATTTATACCTGTGTGCGGTATTGCTGAGGGGGAAACTCCTGCTCCTCCCCTCCCCAGACTTCACCCAGATTGGTTTATTGTGTTTCTGGTATCAGTTGTGCGGAATGGCTGTACACATTTTAGACACACAGAGTACATTACGTATGGAAATACAACAGCAGAATGTGGATTTTAAAAAAAGAAATCCATGTTCTGATGTTCTTTTCTGAAACACATACAGTATTTGCAATGCTGGCACAGGACACTACATATAGAAAACACTACAGCAGGCCATGAATTTGAAAAATAGAGTAGAATTTACTCTCAGCTATAAATAATGAAAATACTTTGTCAGATTTGCCCATTTTGCTCCACACATTCCCATGAGGATAGACTGAGCATAGTATGTTTTCTCTGTGTGACTTGTTTGACATTTATAAAACCTTTTAAAGTGCTGTTTAGTGTAGGATTTATTTTAGAGCTTTAAAGTGCAAATTAGCGTACTGAGAATATACTCGAGATATGGCACAGCTCAATGTGAGTATTTTGGCTGAAGGGAGGAAAAACGGTCAAGATGTACTTTCTAAGTTTCACAAATGCTGGGACTCGTTAGCTGAGTGGAATTGGCAGCATCCTGCACCTCGGTTGCACAATGCTTATTACCTAGACACTGTAAGGCAATGGGTGATCCTGCAAGTCTCTTTAGGGAAAAACAAACTCCACAGATAGACTTAATTTCAGTGCCTCTTCCAGATTCGCGTATAAGCTGGTTCTGAATGCTACATGATGCCATCATTTATTTTTCAATGATTTTGAAGCCAAGTAATAAAACAAGCCCAAAAGAAAAAAAAACACAGCAGTCGGTAAGGTTTGGAGATATGACTCTGATCCCCTGGTTTCAGATGGACAACACAGATGAATACTAGGCAAAACCTTTTTCAAGTTCTATTTGTTGCTTTGCATACACACACGCACGCACACACACAGATGTGTATGACACTGCCATCTACCCAGTAATTGCATTCTGTCCTTTTATTTCTTTTTAATTTAGATGTCACTGGTTTGTCACGACATAAACAGTCTTTTCTGCGTATCTCACCTCTTGCCTTCTGTCTGCTCCATGTAGAATTAGCCAATTATTCTCCCAAAGAGGGAGGTAGTAATGTTTTGCTTTGTGAGCAATGAACTAATTAGACCTCTCAATATATTTTTTGAAAAAAGTGAAAAGATATATGTATATTTTAGTACTTGTAGACACTAATTTCAGTAGGATTCTAAAGTTTTCAGGTTGCACTGGCTTGCAGTTCCTTTCAGTTCATAATACTAGCTGCTATTCAATATCGCTCTTTGCACAAAAACCTGGCACGGCTGCCATAGTAACTGTGACATTGCAGGTACTGAGCTCTTGATGTAAAAATTACTTAGCAGTGTTCAGGGAGAGCTGCCGTCCTCATGGGGATGCAAAAAGGACTGGGCTTCTTTGCAAGCCTATAACGCTACAAGCTGATGGCTCTAATCCTGAAATGAGGGAGGCAGCTCTGTCAGCGGAACTCTGCATTGAAATCTCTGGGATTCCCATTGCTACACCTGAGCCTTGGTTAGCAAAATAAACTGTTAGTGATGGAGGGGACACTTGTCTGGTTCTGGAGCAGAAACCTCTGAGCAGAGTGGTTTGGGTCAGGCTGCTCACTAGTCACAGCCATTGATCCTTTCCGAAGCAGCTTGCAGGATCTGTTGTGCTTGAAAGACAAGAAAATTGACCTCCTTGGAATTAATTTCTTAAATTGCAGTATACATCCCTAGAAACTGGACCTAGAACTTACTCTTACAGCCTCCCCAGGGTCCCTTAGCAGTGATGAATTTTTCTATATACTTGTGGAAAATTCAAAATTTTGTGGTTTTTTTTCTATTCAGTAGGAGGAGAACCGTGTAACTGGAGACATGGACAAATCGCTGAAGTGGCCTACTAATGTCCCTTGAACGCTGCATGCATGGGCCATGCCTTAGGGGTGGAATTCTAGATAGCAGTGCTAATATGCAAAGACTATTTTGCTAAATACTTAGGAATCAGAGAAATTACCAGCACAGAAGACTGCATCTCTTGCTGGTGGAAGTGAATGTTAGGTAGAGTAGTTATGTTCCAAACCACTGTAGAACCTAATTCTCGGAAGGTAGGACTCCGCAATCACGAGATATTAAATATGTAATTAGACTGTTAGGGGAATAAAGGAAACATCACTGACATCAGCCCACAGTTAGGAGCTCCCATTGTTTTCAGTAGCAGATCTGCATGCTGAACGATTTTGGGAACAAGGTCTAAAGATGGAATGAAATTATGTTATTTTAGGTTGATTTCCCAAGTTGCAGTTCACATGTTTGTTTTTCCAAGACTGACCTTGGATTTGAGAGATCTCTAGATGAAGCAAAGCCACTGAAACCATTACTTCCTGGTGACCACCAGTCTAGTCATACCAATGACCAATGACTGCTTCTAGGTGCTTAAAACTTCTAAGGCTTGGTTCTGGTCCATCACATTCATATGAGTCTTCCCATCCCTGCTAGCAGAATCTGAACTAGGCTTGTACAGCGGTTTTTTTTGTTCTTTAGGTTCTGTTTCATGAGAAAAAGTCATTGTTATCATCTCTGTTTTGCAGATGGGTAAAACTGTAAGACTCTAAGAGGTTATTTACACCAAAATCTTCTGACTCTCAGCTTGGCACCTTACCTCCATAATTGTCCTGCCTGTGAATACCTAGTTAAATGCACCAGCTTTAAACATTCTCCTGCAGGAATTTGGCTGAGAGGCTGAAGAAAGTACTCAGCAGATCTCCCAGGTGAGTAGTTTGTTTCACAACTATCTCTTTTGTGTGGTTTCCACTTTCTTTTTTTCCCTCTCTCATCTATCTCCATTTGCAGAAAACTACTATTGTCTGGTGTTTCCAAGCAAACACTGTATTTCAGAATGGGGGGTGAGGAATTCTGAAGAAACCCACACCTTAGAAGAGCTGCTGGATTTTGCGTTAGTAAACTCTGCTTGTTGTGGAGAAGCACAGTAGAGACTGCCCATGGCTCATTGCTGCATGGCTCATCTCTTTTGTCATAGCAAATGGTTGCACGCTGTCATAGTGACTTCACTAGTACTGCTGGACTTTATTATAAACTAAAGTCTGACACTTGGACTGGAGTCTGACACCCGTTTGAACTGCATCTTGTCTGCAGACTGTCAGTGGGCGTAAGCGCCTGCTATATTCATTGACCACAGACTATGCTTGGAGATACGTCACTCGTACAGAAGTAGTTCCTACACTGGGAAAGTCACCCCAGTCCTCTTCCCTTAAGCAAATATCGCCATTCTCTAGCAGCTGCCAAGAAACAAGCTCCTGGTCTACCCTTTGTACCTAAGATATCTTCAGAAGTTGTGCGTGTGCCAGGAGTGATCCCAGCTCACGCTGCTTCTTCTTGGTGTTGTACCTGCCCCCCTCCTTTGTCTCCCTTGTGTCCACAGCTGTGAAGTGGTTGCTTACCCCAAAGAATGCATAAGTTGAAAGGCACTCTCATTTTCAGTCCTTACAGGACGGGAAATCTAATGCCTTTTCCAGTTCGTATAGGAACTTCTGTAGGTTGTAACCACTTTGACTGAAACAGGGCTGAGAGATGCTTCGCAACTCGTAGCACAGTATCCATGCATATATACCCGTGAGTCAATACGTGCATGAACCATGCCAGATTCTTTGATGCTGTGCTAAAGAAGATGGGATCTTCTCAGCCCTAGATCAGAAACACAGCAATTAAGAGATATAGTATGGTTTCCTTTGGTCACATTAGGTCACTGGCAATCTCCTCTAGCAGAGCAGACTGTCTTCCTCCTGTCTACCTTTATTTAAGGATTAAGAGACAAGGACTCAGTTTGAGTACCTGCAACTTCCCTGCAGGCTTGGGAGACTTCAAGGTCGTGAGGGAAGAGGTTGACAAGCAGGAAGAAGGTAGGAGCAACTGAGTGCAAAACAGGGCCGGAACTGAGAAAGGAAGTTGTTTGAAAGATGAAAATCTTTCATCTGAGGAGACCGTATCTGCCTAAAGTTACATTCCACACCACCACCCCACATACAGCTGAAAATGAACCTAACAGCTTTTCTAGATCTCAGCTGTGTTCTTATAGCCCTGAGCCAAACCCGGGGATTGCCGTTATTGCAGTCTGTGCATAGTCCCACTCCTGACCAACTGAGAGTGTCCTTTGGTTCTCATTCAGAGCCTGAGGGTCATTTTCACTTGCTGCTTGTAGTGCCTTGTTGCTAACCCTAACATGGACAGTAGCTGCCTGAAGTCTCGTATGAAGAAGGATCTCCATGAGTTCTCTCACAGCAGAGACTTGTAATTCAACTAGATCCCTGAAGAAAGTAATAGTACAATGTCCGTTGAGCAAGTTAATTATTCTTTTAGTTTTCAGTCCTCTCACACTTTCTTGGTGATAAAAAAAGGCTGTGGCAAACATTCGTTGTGTCATACTCTGTTGGCAACTGGAAACTCTCTTGGTGTGACAGTGTTCCCTGGTTCCTGGGCTAGTGATGGACGGAGCAGGAACAGAA